GCCTCCTGAGTACTGGTATTAAAGGCGTGCGCCACCACCAAGCTTACCTTATATACTTAATATTTGTGTGTGTGTGTGTGTGTGTGTGTGTGTGTGTGTGTGTGTGTGTGTGTATGTGTGTACATACCTCCGGAGGCCATAAAAGAGTCAGAGCCCTGGAGCTAGAGTCACAAGATGGGTGCTGGGAACTGAACTCAGGTCCTTGGAAAGAGCGGCTTGCACTCTTAACCAGGGCCAGCCCTCAGTCCTCTATGTGTTCTTAAGCATTTTTGTCATTACTTACAAATGCTGCTGTATATCTTTACCCATTTAATGTATTCAGAAAAAGACTCCTTTAAAAAAGTACTTTGAGAGTGGGACCAAAGCTGAACTTTTACATTTTTATTTTGTTGTGTTGTTTTTGAGGCAGGGTTTCTCTGTAGCTCTGGCTGTTCTGGAACTCATTCTGTAGACAACTACCCCTGCTAGAACTTCTACATTTGATTGTATTTCCTTCCTTCCTGTCTGTCTGTCTCCCTTTCTTTATTTCGACAGGGTCTTACCCTGTAACCCAGCCTGGTCTGTAATGTGATAGGTAGACCAGGGTCGCCTTGAATTTGTGTTCCTCCTGCTTCACAAGTGCTGGGATTACAGGAGTGAGCACCATGCCTGGCAGAACTGAAAATTTAGATTTTCTGTGTGACAGAACTATAACTTCTGTAGCCCCGCATAGTGGTCTGAGTGAGTTTCTTCTTCTGGTGTTAAATAAGTGAATAAGATTCTTGTTCTCTCATGGTGGATATGTTAGGATAGCAATCGCAGATAATATGGTGTGCTCTATTAGGGCTTGCAGAAGATGCCAGCATGCTGCTCGCATTTGATAACTTTGTTCCCTCTTCAGTAGGAAGCATTAGTTCCTTGCAGACCACTAGCCATTACCTCATTGGGAATGTGGAAACCACTGTGGAGGGAAATGCTTTACCTGGCAAATTGCCCGAGACTCCCCTCAGAGCAGAGCCTCCATCTTCATACAAGGTAAATCTAATGCTTAGTGCTCTCTTTATGTGGTGTTACCATAGGCAGTTACAGTTACGGTGAAGAAGCTAAGTGTCTCCTTAAAATGAGGAGGAAACCATAAAGATTAAAATAGTGGATCACTTGTAATGATGGATGCATTACATTTTGGTTTTTGTTTGTTTATTTTTCAGTTTGTAGCCTCGGCTGAGCTCAGACTCATAATGATCTTCCTGTGTCCATCTCTGGGGTGCTGGTTCTATAGGTGTGAGTCACCACACCTGGCTCACTGGGTTTTTTGTTTTTTTCTCTCTCTCTCTGTCGGTGTGGGTGTACATGCACACTCACCAGAGGACAACCTTCAGGAGCTGGCCCCAGGAACCATACTCAGGTCATGAGGCTTGGCCACAAGTTACTCACTGAGCTACCTTGCTGGCCAGTATCTTAATTTTAATGTGGTATTCAAGGTGTTCCTATTTTCTTCTATAAACCTAATTTAATGATAGAGTCAGACCATGATTATCAAGGCCCAGGATTTCATTTGGTTGGGAGTCTTCAGTTCCATAGTTCATTCTCAAATCTCCATTCAGCTCCCACCTTGTAACACACAGGCACAGTGTGCCCTCAAGATCCTCACAGTGATTGGCTGTGGGTTAAATCTGATCTGCTGCTTACAAGTTATGTGACCTTGGGGCAGTTCTTAACCTCTAACCTGTTTCTTAGGTTAACCTACGCTTAGGCTATCAGGTACTATAAAATATTTCATCAAGGTGTTGTAAGGAATCAGATGGGTATTCCATGTGAAGCTACATTGATGTCTACTTAGAACATTTATGTTACATCCATAGAAAGAGTTCTGAGAGTATCCTAATATGTCTGCTCCCAAATGGGTAAGGTCTGTGCAGGTAATTCTCACTGAAGGGCAAATTGCTGATATGGGGTTGCTGGAGTCTAGATTAGCTGGGCACTTTGCACTGTGGTGCAGGGTGTTTACCCACCAACCCCACAGTTCCCCAGAGATTTGAGTGAGAGCAGCAGGAAATATTAGTTAGAAGGATTTAGAATGTGGAGATAAACAGATAGAAAATACAGGATAGCCTCTAGAGAGCCTGAAACCTATTCCAACGGACCCTGACTGTCTCTGCCTTAGGGTATTTATAGAAACGCCAAGGGGTGGAGCAAAAGACCTCCTCCCCCAGCACAGCCAAGTGCAGACCATCTCAGACACCTGCGCTCAGTACTGTGGTCCAACCATGTGGACCTGCTGAGTAAAGCCTGCAACAGTGGACAGTACTCACTAGTGTGTCAGCATTAATACTCCTTGCCTGTAGACCTGCAACAGTGGACAGTTCTCACTAGTGTGTGTCAGCATTAATACTCACTGACTGTAGACCTGCAACAGTGGACAGTTCTCACTAGTGTCTGTCAGCATTAATACTCCCTGACTGTTAGACCTGCAACAGTGGACAGTTCTCACTAGTGTGTCAGCACTGATACTCCCTGACTGTTAGACCTGCAACAGTGGACAGTTCTCACTAGTGTGTCAGCATTAATACTCCCTTGACTTGTTACACAGCGTTTTTCTTGGGAATATAATTTTTTAAGATTGTAAAAAAAAATTATTTCGGTACATTTTAAAATAAAATTTCGTTGTCATGTTATATGTGTCCTGTGGTTCCCCCACCCCATCACTGTGGAACTAGGGAAAAGTACTCATTTTTGAAATTTTTACCTCAATCCAGGCTTCTTTGTTTATTTACTTTTTTTTTTTTTTTGAGTTAGCTTTGACACACACACATAACACTGTTATAATCAAGACACAGGTTGTTTCTGTCCACTCAAAGCCAAAACATTAAGAAATTTTGCCAGGTATGGTGGCATACACCTTTAATCTCAGCACTTGCGAGGCAGAGGCAGGCAGATCTCTAAGAGTTTGAGGCCAGCCTGGTCTACACAGTGAGTTCCAGGCAGCCAGTGCTCCATAGAGATCCCATCTCAAAAGCAAAGAGAAATTTAAATTGTGGTTTATGGAACTGTCCTTTCTGACCCAAATCCTCCTTCCAGGTAATGTGCCAGTGGATGGAAAAGCTCCGGAAAATGCTCTGTCGTTTCTGGGGCAGTGTGTTCCCAGTGTTCTTCATGTTTCTCAACGTCATGGTCGTCGGAGTTCTGGGAGCAACAGGAGTCATAACCGTGTTAAAGGTGCTTTTCCCAGTTTGTGAGAACAAGTAAGTACTTCTTGGTTTTGAGACATTATTAATCTTAACTATTAAAAAGTAAGTTATAGTGCCGGGTAGTGGTTATCACACGGCTTTAATCCCAGCACTCAGGAGGCAGGGGCTGTTCCACAGAGAAACTCTGTCTTGGGGTTAAAAAAAAAAAAAAAAAAGTTATATTCACTGTATTTTATAGTAGAAAGTATAAAATTAGGGTAAGACAGTGGGAGGAAAAAAATAACTTTTTATAGCCCATTTTCCAATTTTAAGTGAATTAAAATACATCTATGTACTACTTGAGATCACAGTATTTCAGAGATCCAACGATGACGAGGTGTTGCAAAGTCTCCGTGGAGCAGAAATGACCAGGAACACTGGGAATTCTGCGTGCATGGAGTCAGTAAAACCATTACCCACTGTCTCACCTCCAAAGCATCAGTTCAGTCAGTGTCAGGAGCCCAGCAGGGTCTTCACCGCAGCCCCACTCGGAACAGAGATAAAAGCACCAAATGCCCTCCCTCTGCTGCTTGTATGGGGCAGGGACTCATGTAGCCCAGGCTGGCCCCAAACTTGACCATGAAGCTGAGGGTGGCTTTGGACTCCTGATCCTCTACCTGCACATCCCAAGTGCTGGGATTGCAGATGTGTGCCAGCAAGCCTGGGTGTCCTTGATTTCATGGGCTCTCTGTGGCCACTGGCAAACAGGTTCTTTCAGTCCACTCTACTCCTATTTACTCCTGACTCAGCTCTCACATGACAGGCCACAGAGTTATTTTGCTGAATGGCCAGGAAAGGGTTAAAGTGGCCACAGAATTCTGAGGGCAAGGGGCAGAGAGCCTGTAGAGTTGCGCTCACTGCCCACCGTTAGGTATCAGCACAGTCCATTGGCTATTCAGACACTGGCTAGGCTGTCCACGTAGAGTGCTGGCTCTAGGCAGTGTCCTGGGAATAGCAGTTCCAGTAGGTCTTGTCGGGCAGGAACAGGTTTAGGAACATTGGTTACCTGTTAATCCTGATGGCCTGATGACTGCTTAGTTTATGGGTGCTGCCATACTCCAGTCTTAAGTACCTGCTCTTTTTGTTGTTCAGCTTGGGTATTTTGGATGGGTCTCCCTATGTAGACCAGGCTGGCTTTGAACTCATGAATGACCCTCCAGCCTGCGCCTCCTGGGATTCTAGGTGTGTGCCACCACACCTGGCTCATACAGGACACAGGTGAGGGGACTGCATCATCTGTGGATCTGGAGTGCTTGGTAACTTCACTGGCCTGGTTTCTCTAGTGTCTCTACGCCCATATGCTTCTCATTTGCTAAGTCAGGAGCTAGTCAACCCACTCAACTCAGTCACCGGCCTTTGCCTCAAGCCTGTGCCCAACATCTGCTGGAGACTGAGCTGCAAGAGCAAGATGGAGTCAGTGTGTATCGGCACTCGCACCCAAAATGAAGCAAGCTGCGGCATTGTACAGTAAAATGGCAGATGTCGTATGCCGTACAGAGTAACTGAGAGCTGCGGCATTGTACAGTAAAACGGCAGATGTCGTATGCCGTACAGAGTAACTGAGAGCTGCGGCACTGTACAGTAAAACGGCAGATGTCGTATGCCGTACAGAGTAACTGAGAGCTGCGGCATTGTACAGTAAAACGGCAGATGTCGTGTGCCGTACAGAGTAACTGAGAGCAGCAGACAGTCTGAGCACCACTTGCAGTCAGCTTGATTTTAAGCCGAGCTCGGTTGCTGTTGTAATGGGAGAAACCTGGAAATGGTAATGGAAGATCTTGGGTTCACGATGAAAGCCTACTGTGTGGTCACGAATTTCAGACAAAAAGAACCATCTAAAGACTGAGGTGCTTCAGTGGACAGCGACTAGAAAGCTGCCTGGGCTTTCCTCTTCCCCAGCCTGTACCAGTCTGGGGTGATGACAGCTCTTGCCCTGAAGACTGTGCTCTCCTTCTGTAGGACCAGGCCGTGATCTCTTCCCTTCTGGTCCCTCAGCGTGTTTGGTTACAGAGAACTTGGAGCCAGGAGTTGGTACAGCCTGTATAAACATGAGAGGGAAGGTGGACTGTACTCTTGAAGGGGTGCTGCTGTACACCAGCCTTCTGGAGATGTGTGACCCTGGCAATAACGACTTATCTTGTGTTGCAGAGGAATTCTTCAGGTGGATAAAATGAACGTTATGTCTGTGGCACCTGTCATCTTATATCCAGAGGGCTCTGAGAAAACAGCAGAAAAACTCCAAGATAAAACATGTATTTAAAACACCGTCTCCAACCACGGACTCTGGATTGCTCTATTGTCTCCAGACTTGCCATTTGAATACCATTTTATTTAAATCATTAATCAGTTTATACATAGAAATTGCCAGATTCCTAAGACTGCCTGAAAACTGATCTTTACAGTGCCAAGTTAGAGTTCACCTCGCTCCACACACGGGCTGGCTGTTCAGAAGATGAATTATTAAGGGAAAATTTAAGTGGAAAAGAAGATGTGACTGAAATAACCAGAACAAAACGGCGAGACAGAACGCCATGCTGCCAGCAGCTCCAGGTGCCTTTGCTGCGGAAACTATCCATGTGATTACTACTATTGGAAGGTTTGATAAGAAGCACTTTATGAAAAATTCTACTTTAAAAGCTGAAGAACTTAACACTTTTTTTTTCTCAGTACAATGTGCCTTTATCTCACACACAAGACTCAGTATGAAATCACCAAAGTGTATCATGGTCTGTGTCTGTGCCAAAACTGCTTACCCTGAATGCACCAGGACTTAAAAGTAGTAGTGACATGTTCTCACTCTAAAATAAACTTTTTAAAAAAACAATTGCTTTATTTTTAATTAATGGGACGGGGGAGGGGGGCAGCTATGTGCACATGAGTACAAATGCCAGTTGAGGCCAAAAAGGGCATTGGATCGCTACAGCTGGAGTTAGAGTGGTTGTGAGCTGCCTGACGTGGGCACTGGGAACCAAACTTGGGTGGTCTGCAAGAGCAGGAAGCATTTGAACCACACAGTTCTCTCTCCAGCCCTCCTTCCCTTCCCCTAATAAGATAAAAGTAGAGCTGTTTGGGTTAAGTTTACCGAAGTGAGAATCACTCGCTATACAGTGGTGTGGTATAGCTCCTCTCATTCACATGACAGAGTGAAGCTCAGACCTTTCAAAGAAGCTATCATCATCATGGAATTAAAGAGTGTGGCCTCAGCCTCCTGGTTGTAAGTATGGTGCTGTTTATAAACATATTTCATCTTGTTATTGGTCACTCAGATTGGCCTATTTCAATGTTATCTAGCACACACATCTTACTCTGTGCGGTTTTTATTTTTTTTCCATTAAAGTTTTGAAAGCCAGATATGGTAGAGCGCATCTGTAATCCCATTACTTAATGACAAGGAGGAAGACCTTGATAGGCCACATAGTGAGACTGTCTCAGGTTTTTGGTTATAATTCATTTTGGAAACATGGCCCAAGCTTGCTGTTTTGCTTTTTTTTTTTTTTTCCTATAGTAGTAGGGACTTGAACCAATAACCAGGAAAGCTCCAGGCCTGCTGAGGAGAGAGAGGAGGGGGGAGGATGACAAGTGTGATAATGAAGTTTAATCTTGTCTGGGTTTTGGTACTTTTTGTATGTAGTGCAGGCTGGTCTCAGACTCACCAAGTAGTTAAGCAAGACCTCAATCTTGCATTCTCCTACATGCTGGAATTACAGGCAGGTAACACTATGCTTGGCTGTATGCAGAGCTGGAGATCAAAATTAAGGCTTAATGCATGCTAGGCAAGAACCCTAGCAATGAACTATATCCCTAGCCCTAGCTGGATTGTTTTAATTAATTATGGGATGTGTTTCTGTGTTTGTGCACATCCATGTGAGTTCCAAGGATCCTAGAGACACTATATTCCCTTGAAACTACTCAACATGGATGCTAGGAACTGAAATTAGGCTTTTGTGAGAACAGTATGCACTCTGAACCACTGAACCATCTCTCCAGCCCCAAGAGTCCTATTCTTACTCTGACAGAAAGGGAAGAGAAGCTACCATGATACCGGATGAGAAGAAAGATACACTAGGTCTGGCTATGCTTTAGTTAGCTGCAAGTGTATTTGCTAGCTTTCAGTTATTACAACAGCAAAATGCAGAGGGAGAGATGCTGTACTTAGCAGAAATCAAGCAGTGCTAAATTAAAACAATATGCAGCTGAAAAACATTGCCTTTATTCAGAATTTAAAAATCACACCATTATGAAAGTTTAAAAAAATATAGCACTCAGTGCAATGAAATACTACATTTAATTATTTTTCAGACTTAAGGCAGATTTCTCACAATTTACATGTGAGAAGTTAGTTAGCATGATCCAAACTCAACTATCCATTTCTCGTATCTTTCAATGTCTGCAGCTGATACTGACTTAGAAACTTTCTTTAAAGCCATTTCAAAATCCTCCATGGTGGTAGGCATATGCATTTCTTCTCTCGAAAGGTTTCGGATTTCTTCTGGAGTTAGACCCTCAATACGCCTTCTCATGGCCATCAAGGATGCATCCCTAGGTATTAAGTTTTAAAAAAGACCAAAGTGTTACTTTAATTGAATTTAAAAACTGTCAAATTCTCTAAGATCTTACCCACATTATATACGTAACATTAATACTGCATTGCAACTTACATTGGAAAACAAGGCCTGCTTTGAGTTGCTTTTTAGCAGTGAAATCTTCCATAATGAAATAAGTATACTAATTAATTCCAGTAATAAATGGTGAATATACAGTTCAAGATAAAGTAAAAAGATATAATAAAGCAGCTTGCAATTGCATTTCCTTATGTGTTCAATAAAGGATAGGTATTTGGGATCTGGAAAGATGGTTCGGTATTTAAGAGCACTGGCTGTTCTTCCAGAGGTCCTGAGTTTAATTCCCAGTAACCACATGGTGGCTCACAACCATCTCTAGTGGGATCTGATGCCCTCTTCTGGCATAAAGTTGTACATTCATATAGAGCACTTGCATTCTTAAAATAAATTAATCTTAAAAAAAAAAAAAAGGTATTCACCATGAAGACAGAAAGGAATGTTAGCTAGAAAATTAAACATTTTCTCCATATAAGGGAAATCAGGCATGTTTTTCCTTTCCCTTCTATTACAGAAACTTAACATCAAGACAGTCTTTCATAAGCTGGACAATGGTGGCACACACATGGGAAGCAGAGGCAGGTAGATCTCTAAGTTCAAGGCCAGCCTGGTCTACAGAGTGAGTTCCAGGACAACCAGGGCCACACTCTTAGAGAAAAAGTTTCATGTAGCCCAGACTGACCTCAAACTGGCAGTGTAGCTAAGGATGATCTTATACTTCTGATTCTCCTGCCTCCATGTCCTGAGTGCTAGGATTACAGTCCTGCATCACCACATCTTATGTGGTGCTGAGGACCAAATCCAAGGCTTCGTGCAAGTGAAAGTATTCTACTACCTAAGCCACAAACCCAGCTCATGCAATTTCTTTCTCTGACCAAGTTCATCCTTAACTGCAGTCACCATGTATGTACAGAGGTAGTAACTTCACTGTATACATAATCTCTGACTCCCGTATTCTGAGTGATGTGCTCACTTAGAAATGTGGAAGCTAGTATAGTCAAGGCCCTGAGACTTAGATTAGGGCCACACCTTGTTGAGCCAACTGGACAAAGAGCTTATTCCAGTTACATTTAGGACATGGTGATTACATGTATTCATGACTCCAAGACTACAGTATAACTGTGTCCTGTGAGTCATTTCCCACCTAACACTGCAGGGAAGCAATGCTTCTTGAACCTAGAGCTTTTAAATGGACTGTGGATCATCAAATGCAAATATCTAGCCAACACCTGTTAACGCTAATTTAAAACCAACTTGTAACCATCAATATATTGCAGTGTAGAGTTGGAATTCTTGTAATGCCAGGGATCAAACTCAGGGCTTGCATGCTAGACAAACACTACAAATGAGCTCTATCTCCGAGCCAGGGTAGGTCATCTGCCTTAATATAAACACAACTGAAGTTTATGCTTACAAAAACCGAAAGTGAGAAATACACACCTGCATACGTTGGTAATGTCTGCCCCCGAGTAACCTTCCATGTTTTCTGCGATGCTTGCAAGGTTAACATCATCAGCCAGTTCCAGCTCTCGAAGACTTATTCTTAACAATTCTTCCCTGCCTTTTGCTAATGGGAGAAACACAGGTGAAAATTTACATTCAATGGGAACAGAATATTGTGTATTTTGCTCAAGCCTACTTTCTGATATAGTTTTAAGGATGATCTCATATTGGAACTTAGGCTGGCCTAAAAGTACTAGGATTTATAGGCATAAGCTACCATGTCCGCCTCAAGCCCACAAAGTATTGGAAATTGTTTTTCAATTCTTGGAGCAAGTGTGTGCTTATCAAGTTTTCAAGGCTTCCAGGTTCTAGATGTAGCAAAACACATGTATCTGCCTCCTCAAGGAAGGCTAGTATAAATTTTAAATTATAAAATCTACTTGATAACTTGAGCTCCCAGAAAAGAGTCATAATACCTGATGGTAAAGGAATGTAGATTCTTTTCTCAAGACGCCGTCTTAAAGCTTCATCTATATCCCAGGGAAAATTAGTCGCTGCCAGAACCATAACCATTTTGGAAGGGTCTTCGTTTTCTGAAGCACCTCCAACACCTAAAAGGGTAGAGAGAATAAAAGTTACTGAATGGGACTCATGAAATAAAGCTCAGTTCTTTTTTGTTTGTTTGTTTTTCAAGACAGTTTCTCTGTGTAGTTTTGGTGCCTGTCCTGAATCTCGCTCTGTAGATCAGGCTGACCTAGAACTCACAGAGATCCTCCTGGCTCTGCCTCCTAAGTGCTGGGATTAAAGGTGTGCGCCACCACCCGGGAAAAGCTCAGTTCTGAACAGAATGAAATCTGTACATACTCATTCAGGGCAGTGCAGTCTCCCAGCCTCCCTAAGACTCGTGAGTATGTGACCCAAGGAAAATGAAAGGTTTTTGCAGTACACAAATATGTACAAATATGACCCACAAGAGATTTAATGAAAACACCAGCTCAGTCAATCACTTACCAATTACTTTAAAAAGAAAAAGGAAAAAAAAAAAATCACTGGGCATGGTGGTGCATTCCTTAAATCT